ATATTCCAAGCCCTCCAATCCCTTAATGTAGAAGCTGCAAAGCTTATGTTATCCTGATTGTGCTTCCACAATACTTGAATTGTTTCTTTCTGGCTGCTTCCAATACTTTCTCCTTGACCTGGGAACTCTGGAATTTGGCTGTAATATTCCTAGGAGTTTTCCTTTGGGGATGTCTTTCAGGAGGTGATCAGTGAGTTCTTTCAATTTCTATTTTACCCTCTGGTTCTAGAATATCAGGGCAGTTTTACTTGATAATTTCTTGAAAGAAGATGTGTAGGCTCTTTTTCTGATCATGGCTTTCAGGTAATCTAATAATTTTTAAATTATCTCTCCTGGATCTACTTTCCAGGTTAGTGGTTTTTCCAATGAGATATTTCACATTGTTTTCTGTTTTTTTATTCTTTTGGTTTTGTTTTATAATTTCTTGATTTCTCATAAAGTCATTAGCTTCCATTTGTTCCATTCTAATTTTTAAGGAATTATTTTCTTCAGGGAGCTTTTGGACTTCCTTTTCCATTTGGCCAATTCTGCTTTTTAAGGTATTCTTCTCATTGGCCTCTTAGACCTCTTTTGCCATTTGGGTTAATCTATTTTTAAGGTGTTATTTTCTTCAGTATTTTTTTGGGTCTCCTTTAGCAAGCTGTTGGCTTATTTTTCATGATTTTCTTGCATCTCTCTCATTTCTTTTCCCGGTTTTTTCTCTACTTCTCTCACTAGCTTTTCAAAATCCTTTTTGAGCTCTTCCATGGCCTGGGACTGATTCGTATTTTTCTTGGAGGTTTTGGATATAGGAGCTTTGACTTTGTTGTCTTCTTCTGGTTGTATGTTTTGATCTTCTTTGTCACCAAAGTAAGATTCTATGGTCTGACATTTTTGTGCTGTTTGTTCACGGTCCCAACCAATTACTTGACTTGTAAACTCTTTGTTAAAGTAGGGGTCTGCTTCCAGTGTGGAGGGTGTATCATTCTAAGTTTCATGGGTTTTGTGCAGCTGTTTTCAGAGATACTTCTAGGGACCTGTAATTTTTCAGTTCTTCCAAGGTGGTGTGATCAACAACAAGGTGTTTACTCCTTTCCTGGACTGTGCTCTGGTCTATGAGTGACCACAAGCACTCTCTTCTACCTTGCAACTGTGAGGAGGATTCCTTCTCCACCACTGCCACAAGTTCTGCCACTGCAGCACTCTTCCTTGCCCCAGGACCGCCCCCCAGGACTGTGACCCAGATCCAAGCATGGGCAAAGCAAGAGAATCCTGCCTCAGTGCCAGCAAACAGATCCCTGCAATCCCCCTCTGATCAGCCACTTGCTCCTCTCTCTGTCTGTGGGCCAAAAGCTCTGGAAGCAGCCACCACCGTGGTTGCACCAGGACTGGGGCTAGGACTGAGCTCCTCTCTCACCCAGGTCAGACAGACTTTTCCTACTGATCTTTTAAGTTGTCTTTGGCATTTGTGGGTTAAGAAGTCTGGAAACCAACACAGCTCCCCTTGATTCAATCTCCTGAGGACTGTTCCAGGTTCACCAAGATCTGGTTTTTGCTTGCGTGGCCCACGCTGAACTATGCTCCTCTCCCAGCCTGGCACAATAGACCTTTCTAATCAACCATCCAGGTTGTCTTGGGCTGGAAATTTGTTTAACTCTGTCTTTTTGTGGGTTCTGCTGACCTAGAATTTGTTACAGGTACTTGGCGCAGGGGGGTTAGGAAGAGCTCAAGCAAGTCACTGCTTTTATTCTGCCATCTTGGCTCTGTCCCACTCTTGGTTCTTTAAATGACCCTTAAACAAGGCGATATTTCCAAGGGGGAATTAATTTGTCTCCTTTGCTTATTTTCCCCACATAAGTATGTGTGTATATGCCTCCTATTTCTTCCCTATCTCCCCACGTCTTTGAGTGGACCATCATCTGTGATACCACTTTCTGATACCACTTTTCAGTCAAAAACAAATATAACTGGAAGAGGAAAAAAGATGGAAGGAATTCAATCTTCCTTCCATCTCTTTTTCCAAATTTGGTTGTTTTTAGCTGATAATGGCTTTTTCATTCTCACTGATCCTTCGTCAAAGTGAAGATTTAAAAAATTCATTATCTTTGTTTAGTCCTTGAAGTACATAAAGATTGATTTTTTTTTGCTTGACGTCTTTTCATGCTCTATGGACTTGTTTACCTTCTTTAAGTTTCTTCTCTTTGATATATTTCATATCTGCTACTCACTTCTGGCTTTTTTCCAGCAGGAATTAGAGATTTTTCCTTTTGTTGGAAATCCACCTTTTTTCACTGATGGTTTAAGCTTTACATTGAAGGACAATATTATTTCAGGATTCAGACAGTTCTGCTTTTCAGAATAGCCTGTTCTAATTTTTGCTTTCATTTCTCTTGGACAAGGAATGGCCTTCTGCAATTCTGATTTTCTATGTTATATGAAAGACTTTCTTGTGGATGCATGCAATATTTGGTATCTAAACGTCTGCAACTTGATCACAATGTTTTGACGTGACTTGGACTTGGGAGGATCTCTGTTCACATTCTGTTGATCCATTGATCTATTGATCCATTCAGTTTTCAATACATCTGGCCAATTTTCTCATATGCTTTCATTAAGTATTCTTTCAGGCTTTTTTTGTTTCATCATATATTTTTGGAAGACCAATAATTCTCAGATTTTCTTATTGCATTCTATCTTCAAGACCAATTATTTTGGTTTGTAGAGGGAGTTCAGGTGTTCTCCCCATCTTGCTGTCTTTGAATTTTGTTCCAATATTTTTTTTCCTCTTTTGAGTCTCTGAGTTCCAAGCATGCTGCCATCTTTTCCCCATCAATTTATAGACATTCTCCATTTTTTGTTCTAAATATTCCATTTTCATTTGGTTTTTTTAAAATTCTTGTTTAAAAACTCTAATTTCTCTTGTAGTTTCTATCCTTATTTTTACCTTTGATTTTTCTTTTCATCTTCTAACCACTCTTGAGGATCCTGCTGTGGTCCCATTATCATTTCTGGAAGCCTCTTTTTTTTCCTGGGGTTTTCACACTCCTTTCCGTAGTATTTGCTTACTGTACTAGATCCTCTTTTTTTTAACTTGTTTACTTTTTACTTCTTCCACCATCTCTACTGGTTTTTCTGTGAGGTTCTTCTAGGGATGAATACTCTCCTCTGTTACTTTCTTTAGCACATCTTGCTATTTTGAGGTGATGGAGAGGAGCAGGAACTGGACACTCATCTTGCTGCCAAATCTATAGTTTTTTTTTTTTAACTCATTCAGTGAATGAGATAAAAGGACCTGTTTCATTCAAAAGAAACTAGGCTTGGGGAGCAGGAGAGGAAAGCCATTGGTTGGGCCCTTTACTAAGACATTTTGAATGATTTTGTGCCTATAAAACATCTTAAAAAAACAAACATGATTTTAAAAAATTAAAAGAAATTGATGAGTGAGGCCTTGGGGATGTGTGGTGTGGTAAAGGAGGTTACTAAAAATGTAATCCCTCCAATAAGGTGATAATGCCTTATATTTACATGACACTTTATACTTTGGTTTTAAAAAATGGTCTCATATGTTACTAACAGTCTGTGAACAACCAGGGTTTTACAGATGGGAAAACTGAGGCCCAGAAATGATTCATACCATCCATATAGTGAGTCACTGACAGAATGGGGAAAAGAATTTAGTCTTCTTATTCTGACTGAATGACTGCTCTTCTCACTATACTATGACCAACAAGTTATATGCAATGATTTTAGGTGGGAATAGGGCAGTAATGTCATCAAGTTCTCTCAAAGTTCTGGATGGTGCTCACTTTAATTTTTAAAAAAAGAACAGAAACCCATTTGCAATGAAAATGGGGTCTAGAATAAACACTCAACTGAAAAACTACATTTGTTCATCTCTGGTGCCTATTTTATGGAATGTTCATGCTTTGAGGAACATGATTTGAACCACATTAGGTCCAAAATCTACACTAGATTGTTCCATGTTACAAAAGAATTCTTCTGCAAAGGTCACAGGTCATTTTTGTAGCAAGACAGGGAAATGATGAACTCATGTAAAGGACCAAAGCCAGCCTTATTTATAGATATAGATGGCTGCCTACATAGTATGATATGGGAATACCACAAAATCTCTTCTGATTCTAGACATCTTCATCATCTATCTGCCTTAATGAGTCCACTTCTTAATTATTGTGACAGTAAAATTTATGTTGTCTCTGGAAACTACTAGTTAAAATGTACATTTGTCTAGAAAGGAAACCTTTGGAAAAAAGACTGTCCCTTTCAGCCTTTTATCCCATTAGCTCATAATAACTGTCACCACAGAAGGCAGAAAGCCTGATTCCAAAGGAATAAAAGAGAGAACAAAGAAGTTTCAACAACTTCAGATGAGGGGAGAGGAGAAAAGCAACAATCACTGGGTGGCTAAGAGGCAGCATTGGGTAGCAATCAGAGAGGGCAGTCTGTCCTCCTAATGATAGGAATGGGGTTAGAAGAAGAATGCTGAAAGCACTATGTAATCCAGGCTTCAGTTTCTCCCTCAGTGAGGAGGTAAAACTATGTATCTCTAAGACCCCCACCAACTCTAAATGCTTTGATTCTATGTTTTATGAAGTTAAGATAAGGTTGAACTGGCAGGGTATGAAAGTGCTGGTTATTTTCTCAGGGGATCATGTGTCTACAAACTCATCTCCCGGGGGACAGATAATAAAAATCATAGGGACTTGGGAGAGAAACCAAAAATGTCTTTAGAGGATAAAAGACAAGCTTGTACAAGTCACAATTTTGCCTCCAGTTGGTCCACCATACAATAAGGTGCTGTCTAAGGAGGATAGCATCCCAGAGTTTGGGGAGACCCAAGAGAATTTTAGTTAAAACAGGGCTGTTAAGAGAGTTACAGGAGGCTCCACAAGGACTTCTGTCTATGGACAGCTGGTGTCCATTGGTAGCCATCACCCCCAGGGGAACTACTGGGCTCCCAGCCCCAAACACCACGAGGGTTAAGTTGGAGGGAGCTTACTCACCATGAGCAGCATGATGTAACTGACCATGACTGAGGCTGAAATCACCAGAAAGAAGGACCAGTAAAACCAATGTTTTGTGAACTGGTAAACATACCTGAAAAATAGCAGGGCATTGCACTATCTAAAACATGCTAAGAATGAGTATTGCCTATATGGGAGAGAGGGAGACCAGTCTGGCTGCAGCAAAGGGAAAGTTTGTGCAGAGGCTAGAGGGAACATTTGAAAGTTAACATGAAAATCTGATTGTGAATGGCTTTGAGAGATCTTCGACTTCCCCAGACCTCAAAACTCACCCCTTCTCTCCTCCCCTCCTGTTTCCTTCAGGCCAAGATTAACCCTTTCACTTGTACCCTTGATCCCATCACTTCTGAGCTTCTCCAAGACCTCACTATCAATCATTTCCCCAATTTCTTCTTCATTGTCAGTGGTTCTTTCCCTAGCCCCCTTCCCATTTTCCATAAATATCTTCAGGTGTCT